CTATTTTCAAATTTCAGTTGGCATTGGCCAATCCAGGGGCTGAGGTGATGAAAAAGCTAGACAAATCGAAGTTTCTAGAAAGAATGGGCCAAGATTGGATCTTCTTGACCGTGGAGGATGCTGTTGGGGCATGCAATTACATGTTACACAGCTTCAAGCCCAAAATGGATAATAATGATTTTTCAGATGAAAAATATAGCAATAATGTGTGAGATTGAGAGTTAAAAAAAGGCTAAATAAAATGATGTGTGTTTAAATTTTGAGATGGAGTTAGAAAATGCGAAATGCAATTTTTCCTCATCCCAAATTATGGTACAATGTCTAATTCGCTTTGGATAATTTTTGCACTAGCTGGGAAGCTTGCTTCAAATATTGAACAAAGTAATGAATAGTTAAATATACTGCGATGATAAAATAGAGTAGGTAATCTATACATATATAATAACAATTATCATTTATTAAAAATAGTAGCAAAATAATAGGTCAGAATTTAATGCAGCCTATAAATAATAAGTTTTATTATTTTCTTATTTTTTTCTTTAAAAATCATACAACATTAAATGCTACATTAAATTTCGGGCTTTAATTTATTTTATTATTTAAAAAATCTGGCTAAAATTTATTAAGTGTGTATGTTATTATTTTTATTTTTTTTCTTAAAAACAACGAAAAATATTAAAATATCGGTCTCTATATTTATAAAATCTCAATTCAAAATATAACAAAAGTTTTAGAGTCTCGGTCTTTATATTTGTGACTTTAAAAAATATTGATCGCAAACAATATTCTTTAATTGCATAATCAATCAATTACTCTTAACTTTTTGAAAATTACTGTGTTTATTTTTTATTAATATGCATAAAATAAAAATAATTAATTCATCTATAGATATATAATTTATAATCTTAATATACTATCATTTGGTGTAGACATTTATTATATGAATCATAAAATATTTTTATTTCATAAAATTAAATTTATTTAAATAAAATAAGAAAATTTCTTCGGATCAATCGGGTGATTGAATTAGGGTACTTCCCAGGTTGATTGAATTACTTTTAGGTGATATTTAAAATAGTAAAAAATTTGACACAGCTTGGTTGGTTCCAGGGCATTAAGTTATGTATCAATTCAACCACTCCAAATTGATTATTGAACATAAATATAAATTTTATATTGAAAATATTTTATTACGTGAATGTGATGTAGTCCAAACTTCAAATAATCGTATTAACAATACTTTTATGACAACATCTTTAATGATTTATGAATATTTATATATCATTTTATTAATATTTATGTGAATTATATAATATTTTATTATAATATTTATTAATGTACAGTAAATATAAAGTGTTCAGAACTGGACCGTCATCGAAACGATCAAACTATTTTATTAACTCATTTGTGGTTTGTTCAGATTTTTTAATAGATATAGTACTTTTTGTAATAGTTTTAAATAAAATGTATTACTTAGATACATAAATAATTTATAAATTCAAATGTTTAAACTAATTGATAAATAATTTATAAATCTCTATTTTATTTAAATATGTAATTTTATTTAAAATAATTTTAAATATAGCAAAATTTATTTAGAAAATCGTATCGATCTTCCCAGTCCAACCGACTGGTGTTGACGGATTCAAGAGCAAATATTTTATTCAAGCGAACTAGACTGATTATAAACTGATTCTCGATCCATCCAGTCGGACTGTGTCCAGCTCGGTTTAATTCAAAAATAATGGATAAATTATGATTAATGTTATTTATATATTTAATTTATAATACAATCGTAATATTATTTTCTCGTGCATCGCACGGCCACACACTAGTTATAACTAGTATAGAGCCCGTGCGATGCACGGGGTGTACAATTTTAAGGCTATTTATCTAGACTTATAATTATATGCATGAATACAGAAAAATGTACGGGATATATATAGTACGTGACCCGTGCGAGACACGGGATATATTTATTTGAGGAATACTATATTATAAGATGCAATATTCAATAAAAGTTTTATAATACGCAGAAAAATTGTACAATAAGATAGTATTCGACAAACAAACAATCATATATTATTAAAGACCTCCTTGTACACAACATTATGAGTTTGATTTTCCATACAATAATAATAAGATTTTTTGTAAAAAGATAAGAAGGAATTTTCAATCTACACAAACTTTAAACATTAGATGTGTTTACTTAAATCAATGGCTATATAAACAACTAAACCCTTCAATTTAGGCTTGACATCTACTTTATTTATGGGTGACGTAAAATAAGGATTTAATTTTGACCCATTAAATCTTTATTCATAGGTTTGACATATAAAACTGATTTGATGGGATTTTCTTAACTAAACCGATGTTATGGGATAAAACAAATCTATACTTACCTTTGACTTTTCCAGCAAAGGTAAAAATATCGGTTCTGATTTTTATCTCATAACAAATCTTTAATGTCAAGCCTATAAATATTAAAACAAATTTGTAATTAATATCATTCTATTTCCAGCAAGCATTAATTACCTTTGACTTTTCTACCTACTATTTCTAGTAAATAGGATGGCTTTTTATATAAGTATAGTTTTCATATAATGCAAAGACTGAGATCATAAAAAAGAATCCTAAAAACTGAAACAATATATCTGTATAATTTAAGGCCATTAAGAAATCGATCTCTAAATCAGATTTGATTTTCAGAATATGTTTTTTTATTTCGAATTCCATACAAAATGGAATTCTTTCCAACCAATAGATGTCATAGCAAATATTAACTCTTAACTACTAGACTATTAGTACATACCGAGCAAATTGTGTACTGATTTTAAAAAGTTAAAATGATTCATGTTAGGTAATTTTATATTTTATGCATGTTGAACGGTGGGTTTTAAATATTGTTTCATAGAATGTAAAAGTGTATTATATTATTTTTATGAGATGTTGAATTTGAAAATTAATAGAATTCTTCTTCACATGGATTTTAAATGTAACAATATTCTTTGATATACACTACTAATAAAATCTATATTTAAAGTTCATATTTTTTTTACCGAAAAAAATTCCTTAATTTAAGGAATCATATATCTTCAATCAGTCCACATCTATATACATTATTCACAATTTTAAATCTTGAATTTGATGAGAATTCGTATCTATGAGTGCAAAATATGGTTTAACAAATTAATTTTTTATTATTATTCCAGCCATACTTCTTTATACAATTTTTTGTGAAAACACAAAAGTAAATTCTTAATTTTAAATCAGCCGTACATTAAAGAGTACAAATTTGTTGAAATTACAAAAGTAGTTTTTTACTTTTAAACAGACGTAAATTTAAATCAATCATAAAAAAGTAATATTTGTTTATCATTTAAGGGCAACATTTAATGCTGCTCTATTTTTAGGAGACATTAAATGTATTTGGCGGGAAAAACTTGCTAAAAGTGTTAAATGGTTAATCTTTTAATATAATGATAGATGTAATCACTCCTACCAACATTAACTCATGCATTAATTATGTTCCGAAATGCCTTAAAGGAGTAAGGAAGATAAAAAAAGAAGCTATATGGACCATGTACGGCAGAAATAGCTCTCTAAAAATTTGTGCCACTCGTTGTTTTTCTCATTTGGATCAACACATGTCGCGTGTGGATATGTGTATAAGTGTTGCCGATTGGATATACATTATTTTAAAAGAATGATAAATTTTTGAGATTATGAATGAATATGGAATAAAATGTAAATATTATAGTTAAAGTGATAGAAAAATGTAAATAATAAAGTAAAACGATTGGCAATTAAAACTTAAAGATATGTGTGGATTAATAGTGAAATTTATTGAATAATTTGTAATAATGATTGATTTTTATTATTTAATTAATAGTATTGGGGAGACAAAAGTTAGATCATATGAATATTGATTTTTTTACATATATTTTTTATTTAGTTGTAGTTTTTTTTTACTAAAAAGTTCAGAGCATGTTTGTTTATGATTTTTTTTTTTAAAAAAAAAAAATTCAATATTTTAACTCAATCACTTTTTTAACTCAAATTTAACTCAACCACACTATCATCAATATTATTAATATAATTAAATAATATCATCCTATCATTTTTATACATCACATCTACTTTAATTCACTATTTATATACTCACATTATTTTAACTAACCATCACTTCAATCATCTCTCTCTCACTTTTACATCAAATCAATTTCAATTATTTTGTTTTAAATTATTTTAATATACCCACTAACAATTAACCATACCACTTTTTTCAAAATTAACCAAAGCAAACCAAAAAATCCAAACAAAACAAAAATTTTCATAAACAAACATGCTCTTAGTATTCAATAAGACAAAACAAAGAAAAATATTTTAAAAAATTGTCCACTCAAGCACACACGGACAAAAACTTATGGACTAGATCATTTTTTCCCATGTCTTTTCCCTACTCATTCTAACAACCGGCCCATTATTGTATGGCTACATACTGACTATCGGCCGAGCCCAACTTCCATTTACATTCTGAAATCTTGAAAGTACTTATATATCTTGAAATTCTGCTCATATTTCTTTTCTCTTTCCTTATTTCTATGGATGGAGAAAAAAGAGAAAAAATGATGAAGCATTGCCCTTTCAGCAAAATCCAACAAAACCCCCCAAAATTGATGTGAAAATTTTTTCTCCCACTCGACCGACCGAGGTACAATCGGAGCGTCAATATGGCCCCTCTGAGCAAACCCACGACCAAAATCAAGAAAGATTTGTCCAAGAAATTTCAGAAGGGCAAGACGAAGAAGAAGAAGAAAAGCAAGAGCAAGAGCAGCAATGTCGGCGGTAACAAGACAACAACTCAGGTGGATAATACAGCTGTTGACACTGAATGGTGGGAAATTTTCTTGAACAAGAACTCCCCTGAATTGGGTAATCGATTCTATTTCCTATCCTATCTTGCTGTTAATTTTAGCTTAAATGGTGCGAAATAGCTTCAGATCGTAAAAAAAAAAAATGAAAAAGAGAAATCTTTGTTTAAGCTTAAAGATTGCATTTTAGGATTATACTCAGATGAATTTGGGTTACATATTTGTTTGGTGACTTCTCGATAATCCCCCTTACTAAAGTTGCCAAATTCAACTAATTCGCATAAAAAAACCCCAACAAATCCACAGCCCCAAATCCCGCACTCGACGAAGAACAGGCGTTCAAGCACTTCTTCCGGGTCTCAAAGAAGACATTCGAGTACATATGCTCTCTCGTTCGCGCCGACCTCATTTCCCGTCCCCCTTCAGGCCTCATCAACATCGAGGGCCGTCTCCTGAGCGTCGAGAAGCAAGTTGCCATTGCCCTTCGCCGCCTAGCTTCCGGCGACTCCCAAGTCTCTGTCGGCGCCTCTTTCGGCGTGGGCCAATCCACCGTCTCCCAAGTCACCTGGCGTTTCGTCGAGGCCGCCGAGGCCCGGGCCCTACACCACCTCCGCTGGCCCG